AGAGGAGAGTGAAGGCAAGTGCACTGGGTGTGTGTACTCAGAAGAGCAGCTCAGATCAGACACACACTTTTGCCTGTACTGTCTGCACCAGAGGAGAGCCCTGAGGTGGTTATGATGGCCAGGGGAAGGTTTGGGGGAGAAGGAGGATGAGACTCCAGGGTGTTCACACAATCCTGTTGTCACAAGAGGCCCTAAGACTGAGCATTCCACCACAGGAGCAGCAGATGGGGGATTTTCACACAGAGGTTGTCTGAGCTCCTGTGGTAGCTTCCTCTGATGGTGAGGAGGGGTCAGAGCCACTGTCACCATCCTACAGAGCCTTAGGGGGAATGGGCTGAGCAGAAGCTTCAGAGCTAGATTCAGTCTCTGATGCCCTGAACACTCATATTGGCCCTGCAGGGACACTGACCTTTTCCTGAAACAGCCAGGGGGACTGGAGGTGGGTCGCATTGTGTTCCCCGTGGCATCTGAGTGGAGCAACATAAGGACACCCAAAACATTACTATCAAGGTGATAGTTCATTCAGTTTGATGGATATCTGGTCAAAATTAAACAGCCAGCAGTTTTATCAACAAGGTGTTCATAAGGTGAAAATGATTTCTGAGTTCTCCTCAGCAATCAGAAGAAAAGAAAGCAAAAGAGGAAAGTTGCCTCAGGGACACCTTTTCTGGGTGCCCTTGAGGCAGACTCTGCTCAGAGGGTTCGAGGAATGAAGCATCAGCTCAGGTTCCCTCACAGGAACACACAAGGTGGGGGCTCACACCACACACATGGGATTCTCACACTCTGGGAGGCTGGAGAGTGAAGGTCAAGGTCCCCCAGGATCACTTCCTGTGAGACCCTCCCCATGCCAGTAGGAGCCCCTCACTCCCCTTGTCCTCACAGGCCTCTCTTGGAATGTGTGCCTGTGGGTACCGCAAGGGGGTGAGGTGGGAGCATTGTTCCTTGGTGTCCCTAAACTCCCATCTAATCCCCCTCCTGTGAGCTCATTTTACCTTTAGTGACTCTACTGCTGTATATTGAAACATCACAGAGGAACTCAAGTAAAATTATGAGCACTGAATGAGGGATTAAAAATCCATAGTAGAGAGGCAGAACAGGCTTCTACCCTCAAAGCAGGAAAGGGCGAAAATCTGGCTACGACTCAGACTCAGACTATAACAGCTTTCACATTTTCCCGCCCCAGCCTTGTCCCAGCTGACAATGGACCAGTTACTCTCTCAGGGTTTCTAGGATGCAGGGTCTCTCTTGTCACATATGGGGTTTTTCTGCCATCTTGTGGCCGTTGTTTGATACAGCAACTGTATCAAATTATCAACTGTAGCTGATTGGTTTCAGCTGATGATGATCTCTGTGCTGCTGTGATTTAGAGAGACTTTCGCCAAGTCTTTGGAACAGATACTGTAAAGTTTATCAGCTTGCTGGAGTATACAAAAATGTACCTTGCTAAAACCAATCAGATTGTCACCTTCAACCTCAGTCCATCAGTGTCAGTCGCTGAGAATGAAACGAACAAACACACAAGTGATAAACAATCACACATACAAGGACTGTGCAAGATTTAGTGTGGCCTGGGCACTCCCAGGGAGCTCACAGGAAGCCCTGTATTCAATGCAATGTCATTGCAACCCGGGTCCCAAACCGTGAGCCATTGTTTGGCAGAGACATTAAGGACAGTGAGTGAGTACCTCCACAGTCAATGAAGAGCAGAGGCTGAACTGTCTCAGCCAATCAACAGGAAACTTCAAGCATCAAGTCTGGACTCTCTCTCTCACTCACTCTCTCTTTCTCTCTCTCTCCCTTTGGTGCCCTCTACAACTCAAAAACACTGAACGGTTTAATCTATCATTTTCAGGTACACATATGCTGTTTGGGTACATTTTTTGCATGCCTGGTTATATACTCTCAGATCTAAACTTTTCCCACAGGACAATCCAGACTTTGAGGTTTTTCCTAAAGGGGAAGTTTGAATATGAAAAAACAAAGTGTTCATATTCCTAATAGAATGGTCAGCTAGTTGAGGAGAAATGACTAACAGGTAATCAGAGATTTTTTTCCCTCTTTTTATTTTTTCCTCCTGACCCCCCCCCACCCATCCTGCTTTTATGCCAGTTACTTTTCTCTCTCTCTCTCTTTCTCTCTCTCTATCTCTCTCTCTCTCGCTCGCTCCTCTCTGTCTTTCCTTTTGAGCATTATAGCTTTCAACACAGATACTGAAACATTATCATGTAAATCCCTTTACCTGCTTTTAGTACTCAGTTCTTATCCTGAGTGAACATTTCCAATTCTTATTGTCATATTGGAGGTGGCCCGAGTTTAGAGGAGAATCCAGGCACAAATAAGCAAGTAATAGCAACTGTGATGCCAGAATATGTCATAGATGTTATTTTTCAGTAGGCAGGAGGGTCCCAGAGACGAGGAGGAACTTGTAAGGATAATGGCACACATGGGGGTGGGATGGTAGAAAGCAGAGAGTTCCTGGATCCTTTCTAATTTTTTT